GGGTGTCGGTTTTTTGTTTTTTTTGCTGTTGCCTTAAGCACTTTCGTCAGGCCGAACGGCCCGTTTTTACCATTTCTTCCTGCCTCAAACGCGGATCAAACGTGACAACAATATTCAGGAAAATCATGACGTTTATTATTTATCATAAGTCTGGTTTTATATGGCCTATCAAGATGATTTAAAAAGTGGTACAAAGTTTGAAGTTTGCACTTTCCACACAAAATGAAACGGAGACTCAGCGAGGCTGCGTGTTCCTGCTACATCGTCTCAAATCGGTCACGTGATTTTGACGCGCCAGCACGGTTCTGGACCGCAGAGGGTTAAAGTCCATCAGTTTCTGGACTTTGAGTTGTGTGTCTCTGTCCCTGTCGACTCTACAAACAAACTTAGAAACATCTAGAGTTCAGTTATCAGGGACATTTTAATCAGTCTGTGACAGTCGATCAGTCAGAGTCCATCTGAAGGGTTAATATTGACACTGACACTCACAAACATACAGAGTTCAGTTATCAGGAAAGATTCAGTCTGTTCGTCTGAAGGTTTGTCAGATATCGACACTGAAATAATGAACTCACAAACATCCAAACTTAAACGTTCGGAGACTTCTGGTAATTCTGTTGGTTTCAATACAAAATGTTGTCTGAACAAAGTATCAGCTAGTTACAGTATCAACAGTAAAAGTACTCTCAGCTCTATAGTTACAGTATCAGTAGGGTTACAGGTAACTGTTTTGTGTTCAGTTCATTGACTGTTTGTGGTTTCTATGGTAAATCAGTTGTAAACAGGTTTGTTCTTGTTGTCGTAAAAAGTCAGCATCAGACGCCACAGTGTGACACCTGAGGCCCATTGTTCAAAACCTAGATAAGGGATTAAGCTGGGATATGTTGGTTATCCTGGCTTAATTTAGCTTTGATTCGTTGTTTGAAAGCAGAGCTGCATATGTTACCATGGAGATTTATTCTGTGCAGTTAGCCTGCAGTTAGCCTGGTCCCAACCACGCTAACAGCAGGCTAAGTTTATCCTGGTGCCTTATTTCTCCAGTCAGCTGTCACTGCAATCAGAAATCAATGTGTTTCAGAGTTATTCCATGTTCTTATGTATTTGCCCCATTTTTAAACAAACAAAATACATTTAGCCTATAATAATGAAAAAAACATTAAACATTCAAAACATTATTTTTGTCAAAATCATTCATGTGATAAGCACAGTCAGGTGTCTTCAGTGAAGTCAATTATGAGGGCAATATATAAGTCCCATGCACATGTGTAATCCAGCGCCACACAGCACAGATTTTAGAACTGCTTTGTTTCTCGTTATTAAAATAGCTGCTTTGTTTGCAGTTTTTATTAAATAGCTGCTTATAGTAGGATTTTATTTTAATGTTTTATTTTTAAGATAAAAGCACTAAGCAGTCTGCAGCTGCTCACTCACCCATTCTAAGACACACACTAATGCCGTCAGTCTACCACACAGGGTGCATACAGTACAGACAGGGAGCAATCTAGGGTTTAGCATGTTGCCCAAGGACACTTTGACATGCAGATATCCTCACCAATAAATGGATTAAGTGTTGGAATACACATACAAGGTGGTGTATTTGGCATTGGTAGCACACAATTGGTGGTTATTAGGTTTCATAACTGTATGACCTTCCCAAATTACATTCCCAGTTAACTGGACCAATGACTCCAGTGTACTTTACATTAATGAATGAAAGCAGGAAGAGGAAACCACAATATTCTTTGACCTCATTTGATTTAGATGAACAATACTGTAATCAGTCAGTGTCTGCTTTGAGCTGTGGAGAGAGAGAGAAATAATATTGATTAATACATTCATCTTTCTCTAGTTTCTTAATTCCCAAGTCCAGTTTCCTTAAGGTCTTTTTTTTATTTGTCTGTCAAGCTCCATGTCCTGCAGCTTTCTCTTTTCACACTGGAGCTTCACATCTGCCAGCACTATCTGCTGCTGTAGATGACTTGCATATAGCTGTCTGACAGTTTATAAATTCTGTACAACACATATCTATTAGCACAGCAAATGTGGACACCGTGGATTTCCTTCAGGCTATATTCACTATATTTCCAGGCAGGCTGTCAGGCTGGTCAGCATCTGTGTCATGCTACAAATATATTTTCTATGAGCACCACATCACTGACTTCTTATACATTAAGGACTAAATTATTTCCACAACACTGTCAGGTTACCTCAAACCTTCTGGAGTCCAGAAAAAGAGTCTCCTCCTCATCTGCTGCAGATGTGCCTTCACCCTGCCACATTAAATAGAACTTGTATTTACCTAATGTAAACTTGCAAGATACGCCAAGCAAATGCCTTTAATGAATAACACTCACCGGATCATCTTCTGGTGGCTCCAGAAGGGTCAGTGTGTCACCTGACACTGCAAGACAATCCAACATCAGACAGTCCACATAACACCAATGGTTGATTAATGAATGAATAAAATGGTTCATTCCATGGACAGTACACTGGAATAATGTACCTTGTATGACGAGGGCAGTTTCTGTGTGTGGGACAGAGTCTGTAGCTGCCTCCCCCCTGTATCCCCTCCATCATCGGCATGCCTTGGTTTTGATCAAGTGCAAGCTCTTTCGCTGGTGTGACATCAGCTGTTGGTGGGGTGCAAAACATTCTAATACTTAATCTTCACCTGTTACCAGGTGCACTTTTATTTATTTATTTAGACGTTTATTGATCAGGGACAAATGCATTAAACATTATTTCATATAAAATACTAAACAGATGTCATGCATACACGTTTCTAGCTGAAGCTAATGGTTGTCCAGTTGTATTTGTGCTGTATGAGCATTAAATGAGGTTATATATAGCCTTTAAGAGATTTGCACAATGAATCAAGAATCATCATGGTACATGTCGCGAGTAATGTTAACTCCCACTGCTCACCTTTAAGGTGAAGTGTACAACTGTTAATTTGTGGAAGGAACTTTAATTGTAATTATGACAGATTCATTTGTGCAGCAAGTGTATATTTTTAGATTACTTACGCATTCAGTCGGTCCACAATTGTCTGCCACACATTTTCGCTCTGCTTAAAAATTGCTGCTGTGTTTCCTTTATTAGTTATGATGTGTTTAACCTCCTCATAAGTCTCCATGATGACACGCTGCTCACTGGGCGAGAAGTAATAATACATTTTAGTAAGTAAGTAAGCCGCACGTGTTCCCTCCATTGGTGCATGAGTGAAACTGTGATCGACCCACGTGGTCTATTTAAGAAAGCCATGGACGCACCCTTACCTGAATAAGTCACACCTGCCTTGACATAGCCGCTCCTCCTCAGCCTGGCTTGGCGTTGGAACAACCAATGAAGCCAGGATGGACTGATGAGACTTTGTCCAGCCTCGCTTTTCCACTTATCCTGGATTGCTTAATTCTACTTTCGAACAACAGGCCCCTGATCAGCTGCTGTTGTTTAGTTAGTCACAGTTTCATTCATTCAGGTGATTCCGCAGGTGTTCGATGTTGAGAGTTGGTGGGCGGCGTAACACATGACCGTTGTCTCCAAAACAAAATAAAAAACAAAGTAACATTTTTATTTTTTACACAAAGTTAAATTTCATCAAACTGAAAACAAAACAAACATAAATTTCCTCCTGAAACTGTTTCTCAGGTGATCATAACAGCACACCTGCATGCAATCACAGCCTCACATGATGGTGTCAGGTCATGTGATGGTTTCAGGTTACATTAAAGTGTCATTAAAAACAAATTTTGTAAAATGTTTCAAACAGATCAACAGATTTATTGATCATGTATCAGAACCACCTGACTCACCTGTTTGGAGGTTGATCTAAATGTTTGTACAGACTAACATGAATGTCGTCTCTGCATGAATCTAATAAACTACGACAGGAAACTGTTTTATCTGTATAAAAACGTTCAGCTGTGAAACTGATTCACACGTAAACTTTCATCTGAACGTTAAATATTAAATCATGACCTTCATCAGGATGTCAGAGAACCTCATACTGACATCACATATTCATTGTGAGTTATTAGCTTTGTTTCAGTCAGATCAAACGGGCCGAATAGCTGACTGGTGGAGTGGTGACAGCTGACCAGCGGCATGATAACAGCTGACCGGCAGCATGATGACAGTGCACAGCAAAGCTAGTCTTTCATGTCAGGGTTAGGGTTAACCATACGCAGATTCTACAGCAGAGAGAACGAAGCGCCAAAGGAAGGGGCTGAGTAATAACAGGATAAGGTGGTGAAAAACATTTTGATACTGCCTTCGTCCTCAGCTGCTCATCGCTCAGCCGCCATGTTGGTTCTGCTGCAGGTCCTCCGAACTCAAGGCATGTCCACTGCCAACCACCGGCCACCAACCGCTGTCTGTAACACACCGACTGTGGAGAAGTTTGTCATAAAACTTCAACACATCCAAACTGTGACTTTAATATTCAGGAATCATCCGTCCTGGATTTGATTCATTCACTTCTAAAACATTCGGTGTAAAAGTTCCAATAAATATTAGCTTGTCTCACCTTATAGTTGTGATCAATAATTACAAAATAAACAAAAGCATAACTGAAAAATTTAGAACTTTTCTAGACATCATTAAGTCCGTCACTATGACACAAAGATCCTCTGTGCCGCTCGACAAACACCTGACTGTACAGGTCTAAGAAAAGATGTGACATAAAAACATTAAAATTAACGATAAGTTAAAGCTAAGCTAAGTCTAAACAAACATTAGTCCACTGAAGTGTCAGAGTTACGATAAACATACAGATCAGTCAGACGTTATTCTCTACCTTTGTTACAAACATTTGAGACAAACTGATTCAGAACCGAATTCATCAGAAACAATCAAACAAAAAAAAGCTGATCGTTCTGAACTTCCTGCGTTCAGTCATTTCAACAACTCGTTCTGACTCTGAAAACCTCGGGACATGTTGACTTGTGACTTTCTCATGGCTGATGAATACAAACACAAACAAACAAGAAGGAGACTGGTCGGTCTGAAAACATTTATTTGCATTTTTTTGTTGAAATCTTCAGTACAGTCTGTCGTCTGACAGGAATGCATGAGAGAAGACATGATTGGCTCAAAACAGTCACATGAACATCATCATCATCATCATCATCATCATCATGTGTATCAACGTCGTTACAGAACACTGTAAAATAAACAAACACTTGAATCCAGAAACTCCCATAACACCCCACCCCTCATGTAACCCTGCCCCACCCCAAACATCCAGGCAAGTCCCGGAACATTCAGTGAATCCCTGAATATCGAGGCACTCCCTCATCATCCAGGGACTCGCCTGGATGTTGAGGGACTCACCTGGATCTTCAGTGAGGGAGTCCCTGAACATCCAGGTGAGTCCCTGGATGATGAGGGAGTCCCTGAACATTCAGGCGAGTCCCTGAACATTCAGAGAGTCCCTGAACATCCAGGCGAGTCCCTGAACATCCAGTGAGTCCCTGAACATCCAGGTGAGTCCCTGGACATCCAGGCAAGTCCCTGGACATTCAGTGAGTCCCTGAACATCCAGGCGAGTCCCTGAACATCCAGGCAAGTCCCTGAACATCCAGGTGAGTCCCTGAACATTCAGTGAGTCCCTGGACATCAAGGCGAGTCCCTGATCATTCAGGGAGTCTCTGAACATCCAGGCAAGTCCCTGAACATTCAGGCGAGTCCCTGAACATTCAGGCAAGTCCCTGAACATCCAGGTGAGTCCCTGAACTCTGTACAAGCCCTTCAGAGAAACGAACGTAGAAAAGATGAAGATATTAAAGATGAGGAGTATTAAAAAGGCAAAAACATCAATGACCCCCCCCACCCCCCCCACCCCTGGAGTGACATCATCATGACATTCAGAAAACATTATGAACAGAAATGGTCCAGAAAAGACAAAAACAAACATCAGCAGTCATTCAGTGAGTCACTGAAAAGCAGCCAATCAGAGGAGAGGACCTCATATGTTTCCTGCTTCCTGATTGGCTGAGAGATGTGAGTTTTGAATGTGAAGGGCGGCTGAGTATTTTTACAGTGTAGCTGAGGAGCTGCTGCCCTCTGGTGGTGAACAGAAATATACACACAGATATCTGCAGTATATACAAACAGATCCTCCGTCAGACGGACGTCTCCGATCCACCGCTGATTATTAAAAACATCTGAGTCACAGTTTTCACTCTGGAGGTTCACTTCCTGTTTACATTCTGTTCACTTCCTGTTTACATCAGTGAGTCGACCTGGGAGACCGACCTGGTTCTGACAGATTTAAGACCTGAACAGGACCTGAGACAACAGGATGTTTCTGAGTGCAATGCATCTTGGGAGTCGTAGTTTAAAGGCTCTCTGGTTTGTAGTTCACATCTTCTTCATGTTTCACAATAAAAGCCTCCGGAGTTCTGTCTCTTTCCTGGAGGGCTTTTATTGTGAAACATCTCTCAGAAATATGGAGGTTGGCAAGTTTACAAAATAAAAACACAACAAAGTCAAAATAAAACTTCAGGTTTCTGATTAAAGTCCATTTATAGATTATTTTTATTAATAATTATTAAACTCATTATTTTAATTATTAATTCTTTTTTTAACTTCGATAAAATGTGATTGGTCTGTTCTTTTTTCCCCCTCCAAATTAAAAAAGTCAAAGAGAAAACATACTAAAAAACATTTAAGACTTACAGGTTCTGTCTGACCCCCACGACACTTCCTGTTCAACTGCTCTGCTCTGATTGGTTAGTCACACCTGTCAGGTTTCATCCTGTCTCACCTGGTTCAGCTGTTGCTGTCCTCTGTTCTCTACTGCCCCCTGGGACAGACAGGAAGAACGCTCACCTGGACCAAGGTGAGACTTTAAAACCAAACCCTGTTCAGGTGTGACAGGTGGGTGTCAGGTAAAGACTCCTCCTCCAGCTGTTGCTCAGGTAAATCTCCAGGTGTTTCAAACTGTGACATCACATTTGTTCAAACTGAAGGAAAGTTTATTTTAACAGCTGATTGATGAGAAGAACAGTGTGACACCGCTGCCACAGGTTCGAGTCCCACACACACACACACACACACACACTTGTACTTCTATACTTGTGAGGACCGTCACTGACATCATGCACGTCCGAACCCTAGAGACGAACATTAATGACATCACAACCACAAGAACTCTTGATTTGGCCAGGTGAGATGAAGAAACAGGAAACTGAGTGGCTCCTGTTTGGAAGTACGGACAACCGTCAGCAGATCAATGTGATACTGAAGAAAACACAACGGTTCTTTTTTCTTTATGAATGTTTGTTCTGGACGGACATCAGAGAAGTCACACAATGACATCATCACGTTTTGTCTGTTTCCACTGCAAGCTGGACCCTGACCCATAATCCCGTTAATCTGGTTCTGACCTTCAAACCAAGTCCTGATACTCGTACAGACACTTAACATCCAACACAAAGTGAGAACAAAACAAAATGACCCCACTTTGTAAAGATGTCTTCACAAAGTACAAAACTCCTGGTCCTCACAAAGATAGCTGTACCAACACTCATACACTCTCTGTCTATGAGGGGGGGGTGAGGGGGGGCAGTCCCTCGTCACTGGGCGTGGCCGTGTCGTCGCTCGGCTCCAGGCTGTCCTTCAGACTAACCGTGCTGTCTGAGGGGGGCGGAGTCGACTCGGAGTGGGGTGGGGTTAACTCTGAGATGGGTGGGGCTAACTCGGTAGGGGGCGGGGTGTCTGGGGAGGGTTCTTGGGTCCCATTAGCCGTCGGAAGAGGTTGAGGTTCCTGGGTGGGTGTGGCTGCTGCAGGGAGGGCTGGAGTGAAGGCAGAATCCACCCTGTGGGGGGCGGAGTTAGAGAGGAGGCCGTCGCTGAGAGACAGTGAAGATTTTTCCACCAAACGCCACTGCATTATGCTGGTGTCCTTCCCCCCCGTCGAGATCAGGTGACTGTCATTATACAGGAAGCTGACGTTGGTCACATGACTGCTGTGGGCACTGTATTTATGGCTGGGAGCCTATGGACATACAGATTATTGATTACTGATTGATCTCTGGGCTCCAACAAGGCTCAGCCTGCTGTTACATTCACCACATGGAGCCCAGTATGAAGACAGCCCAGTGTAACTGGAGCCCAGTATGAAGACAACCCAGTGTAACTGAATCCCAGTATCGAGACAACCCAGTGTAACTGGAGCCCAGTATGAAGACAACTCAGTGTAACTGGAGCCCAGTATGAAGACAACCCAGTGTAACTGAATCCCAGTATCGAGACAACCCAGTGTAACTGGAGCCCAGTATGAAGACAACTCAGTGTAACTGGAGCCCAGTATGAAGACAACCCAGTGTCACTCGAGCCCAGTATGAAGGCAACCCAGTATAATTTTGTTTGCAGCACAATATATAAAACACATATATCTACTCTATAGATACCATAACACACATTGATTACACACACATATCACACATACATTGCAAATATACACAGAATAAATAATCTAAATAGTCTACAATAAATAGTCTAAACAATAAATATTTGCCCTTCCTTAAGATGCACTGCTCATTGGTAATAATCTATACATACCACACCTGCCAATGCCTTGTTTAATTGTGTAATAGCCAAAGGAAGAAAAGTGATTTTTGCCCAATTTATTCTAATATTGGGATGTCTGTACCTTCACCCCGAAGGGAGAAGCTTAAATTCCCCTGAGAGTGGGTGAGTATTATCCATGCAGACCTTGTCTGCCTTTTGGGTCAGCCTGGTCAGATAAAGATGGTACAGATCAGTCTGCTGCTTCCCAATGATTTTTCCACAATTTTTCCCAGTTTGTTTCTATGGGTGACCATACCAGCATACAACACAATAAGCAAGAATACTCTCAATAAAAGCCTTATAAAATAAAGTGAAAGTTTTGTTGTTGACACTAAAAAAAATTAGTTTCTTAAGAAAGTACATGTGCTGCTGTGCTGACCCTTTTCAAACACAGCATTTGCACACAGATCCAAGGATAGTTTATGGACTATAATAAGACCAAGATATTTGTACTCAGTTACCACTTCTATCTTTTCTCCCTTTATCATAGATGGGATGTGGGTGGGGACTCATGTCTAAAATCAAAGACCAACTCTTTAGTCTTATATATATATATATATATATATATTATAGATATATTTAACTGCAAATGTGACACCTCACACCAGCTCACAAAATCGCTTAACACAGGTCCATGCCAAATTTCATCCTGCTTCAATAAGCTAACTATGGCACTATCATCTGCAAATTCAGATTAACTCATATCACAGCGGTGCCTGGATAGTGTGACGTGTGTGGTTGTGCTGCTGCTGTGGTCCTGCCAGATGCCTCCTGCTGCTGCTGCTGCTGCCATCATTAGTCATTAGTCATACTTCTGTTATTATACACATGATTATTGTCACACATGTATACTGCCAGATATTAATATATACTTTCAACATATTGTATCACAGTAGCCAGAACTATAACTATAATATTATCGCTTTTAATAATGTTGTAGTAAGCTACTGTCATTACCGTCTGTCCTGCATCTCTGTCTCTCTCTCTCTCTCTCTCTCTCTCTCTGTCTCATTGTGTCATGCGGATTACTGTTAATTTATTATGCTGATCTGTTCTGTACGACATCTATTGCACGTCTGTCCGTCCTGGAAGAGGGATCCCTCCTCAGTTGCTCTTCCTGAGGTTTCTACCGTTTTTTCCCCGTTAAAGGGTTTTTTGGGGAGTTTTTCCTGATCAGCTGTGAGGGTCATAAGGACAGAGGAATGTCGTATGCTGTAAAGGCTTGTGAGGCAAATTGTGATTTGTGATATTGGCCTTTATAAATAAAATTGATTGATTGATTGACTGAAATGTAATTATATGATTCCCAGGGTGACCACTGCGACAGCAGTCAGTATATAAAATATACAAGAGTGGTGACAAAACACTGCCTTCCAGTGTTCCAATAGATGTAACAAGAACACCTGGTGTAGTATTTCCCACTCTTGCCCTTTGTGGTCTACAACACAGAAAGTCCAAAATCCATCTAATCAGTCATGAGTCCAGTTTAAAATGACCTCTCAGTCTTTCGGCTAAAATGTATGGGTGGATTGTGTTACATGCTGATAAAAAATCTACAAATAAAACTCTGGCGTGTTTTACCACCTTCTAAATGCATACACAAAATATTGACCAGACCTGTATGCAAACTGCAGTGGGTCAAGGGCATGTCCACATGAGTTTATAATGTGGGTTTTTACTATCCTCTCCGGTGCTTTCACAACCAGAGAGGTGAGAGAAATACGTCTGTATTTGGGTGAAGATGGATGGGGTACTTTTGGCAAGGGGGCCACCAGTGATGTCTCCCACAGTAGTGGGACCACCTGCATATCCAGAGAACGTTTGAAGAGAAAGCAGAAAATTCCACTTTCCATAATCTTTATGCCATTCCATGCAGCCCTTGAGTTTCCTGAAGCCAGGGTACTCTGCACCTTGTCCCTGTACTGGCATTTGGCCTTATAGACCTCATTTACTTCCTTTTATACGTCTTTCCTGTCCTGTAGATTTCCCACAGCAAAGAACCTCTTTTTTCATTTAGTATGCATTTAAGTCCTTTTGTTACCCATGGTTTGTTCGGGTACACTTTAATGGTCTTAGTTGGAATTCACACAAAACTTTATGTAACCTGTAACAGTCTCTGTCAGCTCATGCAAGTTGGCAGAGGAATCCTCAAAGACAGTCCAGGGCTTGACACTAACTTTTTTCCCAAGGAGCAGGCTTCCCCAGAGGTCTGCTGCTTTTCCCGGTCCCTTGTCTCCGCCACACTTTAACTTATTTCCACCCAGCCGACAGCCTGGCAGTGGAGAACGGTCCCTAACTGCATCAATAAGTGATTAACATAGAGGGGATCAAAATAAAAATAAATAAATAAAATAAAAATCAACCAGCCCCCCTCCTCCCCCGACAAGTAAAGAACAGTCCCTAAAGTGAGGTGAGGTTTGTGGACCGTTATCTGCCACAAAGAGAGAAATGTGAACGGCTCGTTTCTCCTCTGACATGCCACATACCTATGTGCTGCCATGGCTCGGTTGTCCAGGTACTACTGGGCAGTCATGACATCAATGAAAGAGGAAATTACTGGACCTGGAGTTGGACTTCTCTGTCGCCGGTAAGCCGTTATCTTGCACCGCAGAGCACTATGAGCCTCCACTGTATTCCTGTCTGTGACCCCCGTTCAACCCACAACCGCCAGGATTCGCCTATCCTTTCTGCTGCTGGTTTAAACGTGATAATAGGGACGCCCCAGCACCCACTCCACTAACTTGGCGTGGAAATGAGCGGTAGTCTAGAAAACTGGCAAGTTTTTTTTGTTTGTTTGTTTGTTTGTTTTTTGGAGAGCGCTCGTGTGCCCTCACATAGATTGCGCCCTGGGCAGTCGCCCACATTGCCCATAGCAAAAACCATCCCTGCCTCCACCACACTTTGACTTATTTCCACCCTGCCGACAGTGAGACTTATATTCATTGTGCCGACAGTGGCTTGGAAAACTGCCCATAACGCTTGCACTGTCGAGCCCTGCAGTCCAGGTAGTGTTCTCCAAGCATCCTTTCAGGGTCTTGATGCTGTCCTCATCCCACACCTGAATTTGCTTTTCCACAGGCTTCACCCTTTTCAAGACCTGTCTGTTGATGGGTCTGAGGAGGACAGTGTTGTGATCTGAACTGCCAAGAGGGGGCTTGGCACTGGATGTGTATACCTTTGGGATTGATCCGTAGCATAGATTATTTAATTATTAATTTAATTTAATTATTATGTTTTTCCTTGTTGGACAAGTAACATATTGCGAATATGATGGCAACGTGCATGCAAGGGTGCAATTGTTAAAATCACCTATAATAAACTTGGGGGCATCTGGGGAGACATTATCAAATTCTTGGGTAATGTTAAAAAATAATGTCTGCTGCCTTTTCTATGTCTGCACGCGGATGTATGTAGGCAACAGTCAAAAATATTTGTGGGAATTCTCTGGGAAGATAATGGGGACGCAGAGATACCAATAAAAGTTCAATATCAGGGGTGCAGATCTTTTTCCTCAGCATCGTTGTTCTACACCATCTGTCATTTATCATGACGCACACACCCCCCTCCTTGCTCCTTGCCTGTACCCATGCTGCACCGATCCATGCACGATAGTAAATCCTTCTGGACAGACTTCGGAATCCGGCACAGTTTCATTCAGCCAAGTGTCAGAGAAGGCGAGGACACAAGTTTCCCTATACTCATGCAAGTAATGAGTGTTTGCTTGTAACTCGTCTGCTTTCCTTTTGATGGATTGTGCGTTTGATAAAGTTATAGTTGGAAGCAGAACTTTTGCTGTTTTCCTCATTCTGAGTCTCTGCCTCAGCCCACCCCGTTTTCCTCGCTTTTTCTTGCATCCCATATGTTTAAATGCCCTTATAATCTCCATAGATATATTCAGATCAGTAACACTCCAATCGCTTGCGTGGATGTGAAGTTCCAAGAGGAAATCACTGCTGTAGCGAAATGTGTGAGTCTGAGTTGCAGTTTGCTGGCTCACCCGCTACGTTGACTACAAGCAAAATAAGTCTGATTATTAGAACGAATTCCCATATCCGACACATGTTGACTCTTCCCAAGCCTTACCTAAATTCCATCTTTGATTAGTGCGGAAAATAAAACGATCAGACAAGACTTAACAAAACAATCAAACAGACAGACCGTGCTACTGGTCGCCACTGTGTGGCGCCCTGGAAATTACAAGCATATAGTGTGTGTGTGTGTGTGTGTGTGTGTGTGTCTCACCTTGGGGGTGGAACATGGGTAAGCAAATAGGTGAACTTTACAGAAGTCATCTGCCAGAGCGATCACCTTCCTGTTGTGAGATCTCATCAAAGCGTTGATGTCAGTGCCGTCTGAACCCTCGGGCCACACACCTGCAATCACACACACACAAAGACACAGGTGGACAGATGTATGGAGAAACACGCATACCAAATGTACTATGTGTACCAAGTCTACCAGGAGTACCAACTGTACTATGTGTACCAGGAGTACCAACTGTACTATGTGTACCAAGTGTACCCGGAGTACCAACTGTACTATGTGTACCAAGTCTACCAGGAGTACCAACTGTACTATGTGTACCAGGAGTACCGACTGTACTATGTGTACCAAGTGTACCAGGAGTACCAACTGTACTATGTGTACCAAGTGTACCAGGAGTACCAACTGTACTATGTGTACCAGGAGTACCGACTGTACTATGTGTACCAAGTGTACCAGGAGTACCAACTGTACTATGTGTACCAAGTGTACCAGGAGTACCAACTGTACTATGTGTACCAGGAGTACCGACTGTACTATGTGTACCAAGTGTACCAGGAGTACCAACTGTACTATGTGTACCAAGTGTACTAGGAGTACCAAGTGTACTAACCGAACACGTGGTATCCCAGTACGCAGGTGTAGGTTGCCCAGTCGATGTCTTTACACTCTGAACGATTTCTGATCAGTTTACAGCCGTTTGGAACGTCCCCTAAAAAAACACTACTGTTAGTACACAACACTGCGGAAGTACAACTACACAGTACTACATTACTAATGTAGCAGAGTACTTTCAGTAAACAGTACCACATTACAAATGTATCAGAGTTCTTTAAGTACACAGTACTACATTACAAATGTATCAGAGTACTTTAAGTACACAGTACTACATCAGTGATGTATCAGAGTACTGTAAGTACACAATACTACATTACTGACATATCAGAGGACTCACAGTAGAGGATCTCGTAGTCTCCAGAGTTGGACATGATGAAGTTGTTGTCAGGTGACCAGTCCAGGTGTGTGATGTAGCTGGAATGTCCCTGTGGAAACATTCAGGTAACTCATGAACATACCTGAACATCATCTTCATCAGCTGAACATCATCATATCAAATCTTAGAGAGCTCATGGAACCAGATTCTCCCACCAGAGCACCGCACCCTGAGAACGCAGGGTTCCCGTGGTTGCTAAAGAAGAGCCAGAGCCTTCAGCTATCAGGCCCCTCCTCTGTGGAAACGAGTCTGGGAGGCAGACACCGTCTCCACATTTAAGACTAGACTGAAGACTTTCCTTTTTGATAAAGTTTATAGTTAGGGCTGATTCTTATAGTTAGGACAGGTTCTCATAGTTAGGACTGATTCTTATAATTAGGACTGGCTCTTATAGTTAGGACTGATTCTTATAGTTAGGAGTGGCTCTTGTAGTTAGGACTAATTCTTAAAGTTAGGACCGGCTCTTATAGTTAGGACTAATTCTTATAGTTAGGACCGGCTCTTGTAGTTAAGACTAGGGCTGAACGATATATCGTTATCGTATCTACATCGAGATATGAACATGCAAGATATTAATATCCCAAAAGTAAACGATATTGGCGATATAATTTCCCCATGAGTTTCCCCAGCTCGACTTGCATGACAGTACAGCTCAGCCAATCACAAACCTCATTTCCTGCTTGCCTTGGATCGACAGTGAAGCCAGCCAATCACAAACAACCCCTTGAGCGAGGGAGACGTGCTGCTGCTAGCAACTTGCTAGTACACACACACAGCGGAAAACTCAAAATGGAAGCGGAAGATGAGGTCGGTGCAGCTTTGGTGGCTAAAAATAAGTCAACCTCCATTATTTGGAGGTATTTCGGTTTCAGGAAGGATGATGTGGAACAGAGCGTGGTGTTGTGTCGGTCGTGCAAAAGTCGCGATGAAGCAAGGCAGCACGACGAACATGTATCATCACCTGAAACAACACCACCGGGTACTATATGAAGAGTGCCTTGCGATGAAAGACACAGCGGGGACATCTGGAGCCTGTGTCAAGCCCAAGCAGGGTCGGATTGCCGATGCATTTAGTAGCACAATGCCATACGAATCGGCGTCCAGCAGGCACAAAGACATTACAAAAGCTATAACGTACCATATTGCTAAAGACATGATTCCCGTCTATTCAGTCACCAAAGATGGCTTCCAGAAAATGGTTCGGACTCTTGACAAACGCTACAAAATACCATCTTGAACCTATTTTAATCAAGTGGCCATTCCCCAACTCTATAATGAGTGCAAGATGAATGTTGTTTCTGAGCTCCGTGAAATGGATTATTTTGCCACAACGACGGACCTGTGGTCCAGTAGAACAACTGAACCGTACATGAGTTTAACTGTCCATTTCATCACAAAGAACTTTGAGCTCAAAACCCGATGCTTGCAGACTTCCTTCTTCCCTGCGGAGCATACTGGAGACAACATAGTGCATGAGATGAGAGATGCATTAGCAGACTGGGGTTTGCAGGAGGACCAGCAGGTTTGTGTGACCACTGACAACGCATCAAACATGATAAAGGCGCTGAAAGAGAACAGCTGGACATGGCTACAGTGCTTTGGGCACAGATTACACCTGGCTATAGGTATGTTTTTCTATGTTTATTTTTAATAGATTTGTTTAGAACAGATTTTGAATACAATATACTACCTCAAATGGTGACATAGAAAATATGCAAGTTTGGTTTTGGTCAGGGAGTGCACACACTTGAAGAAAAAATGCCTTATTGTTATAGTCAATTATATCCTGGCAAAGTTGATTGATTGTATTGTTGTTGCATTGTTAGTGTTTTAATAGACCACTTGCATATTGTGTGGATAATTTATGGTATAGAATAGATGGACTCACCTGAGGAGGGAGAGAGACAGGGGAGGGTGTGTGTGTGAGTGTGAGAGAGAGAGGGAGAGAGAGAAACAGGGGAGGGTGGGTGTGAGTGTGAGAGAGGGAGAGAGACAGAAGGGGGTGGGTGAGTGTGAGAGAGAGAGAGGGAGAGGCAGAGAGGGAGAGATGAAACAGTATGTGGTTATTTAGTTATGTTGTAATATATTTATGTTTTATTTTGTACATATTTTCTCCAGAAAATGCGATGAAAGGTGGCAACCGGATCAGCCATGCAACAGGTGTCTGCAAAAAGTTAGTGTGCCACTTCTCACACAGTTGGAAGAAGAGGTTAGCACTGGAGCAAGCTCAGAAGCGCCTCAACCTTCCAGTCCATGGTCTCATAACTGAGTGCCAAACTCGAAGGGGGTCCAAGCTGCTCATGATTGACAGGATCCTGGAGTAGCAGAAAGCACTGGCAGAGGTCCTCTCAGATGACAGAAACACACGGCACCTAATTCTAGGGTATCAAGACCTGGATGTACTGGAATCGGTCAGCAAGGCACTGGGACCACTGCTTGAGTTCACTGATGCTCTGTCAGGGGAAGATTATGTAAGTGTCTCACACCTCAAGCCAGTACTGAGCCTTTTCAACACAACCCTCTTGACACCAAAGAAGGATGACAATGACTTGACGAAGTCCTTAAAAAAGAAAATGCTGGAGTACATGAACAGCAAGTATGAAGATAGAGACACACAAGAGCTCCTGGATGTGGCATCCTTCTTAGACCCAAGATACAAGACACAGTACATCAGTAAAAACAGTGTCCCACCGATCATCAAAGCCAGACTGGTGTCAGAGATGATGATGATGGAACTCAAGGTAAATATAGTGGTTAGAATGGATTAAATAGAAAACTGTTCATTCTATTTAATTGTATTATCTTAGATTTCAGTAAGTTTACACTGAGCTGAACATTGTGGTCTTCATACAGTGACAATCATTTTTATATTATGATGTTGTATTATAATATTTCAACATAAAACTAATGAAATTTCTTTCTTCTCTTGTTGTCTATTTTATTCTACAATGCTCCTGAGTGCATCAGAGAAGAAGTTCCACCCCCACCCACCAAAAAGACAAAGAAGTCGTTGGCAAGCTTCTTTAAAAGCTCCACTGCCAGTGCCACAGCACCAGTTGATCCCACTGCTGCCATAGATGCTGAGTTGAACAGTTATCTACTGTCTTCCACACTTGACAATGAAGAGGACCCCCTTCTGTGGTGGAAAACCCACAAAATCAACTTTCCCTGGCTCAGCAACATGGCAAGAAAATATTTGTGCATGCCGGCCACCAGCTCTCCCTCAGAGAGACTCTTTAGTACAGGAGGCAATATTCTAAGTTGTGAGAGGTCCTGTCTAAAACCAGAAATTGTTAATAAGCTTGTGTTCCTTGCAAAGAATCTGTAGAAGTCCTGCAGACAAATGTTAATGCATTCTTGCATTCATACAATACGAGACACACAGACACATACCTACCTCTATTTTGTAATGTGAGAATGGCAAGATTGTTTACATTGTCCAAACAATAAGAGGTACGGATTGTCCATATGATATGTTGGACTGTTTACACTAATGTTTTGTTTTTGTTCATTATTTACATTTTGTAATGAAGCAACCTTAGGCAGTTAAATATTTTAAGTAACTGCATTTTCTGCATACATTTGCTATGTTGTTTTGTGAAGACTGTAAGCAGTTGCACTATTGTTACACTTTAAACATTGTTGAAGCATTGACAGAGCGGAGTTGCAGCATAATATATTTGATGTTTTATTTTAGTGAAAGCTAAGATAGTGATTGGTCTGTTTTATAATCACTAACATATTTTATTTGTTGAAGAATGCTTCTAACTTGCATTGTTAGATGTTAAATATGAATTTTCAAAGCAGAACTGAACCAAAATGTTTAATTGTACTTATTGGTGCCTATATTATGCCATGGATGGGTGGTGTGTAGATTCTTGACTCCTACACATGCTGCAGCAACGTTCTTGGATCCCTTTTAAAACAATGAGAAGGAGTAGAAAACATCAGTTTTATCCAGTACAAATAAGTGTTGCCTTTTTGATTCAAACACCCACTTAATAAGAGCTAAATCCAATATCCACTCAGTAGCAACATTTATTAGGTGCACTTAGTTAAAACTAACACAATCTCTTACGATAGTCCTGCAATAAATCCTGCTTTCATGAAGGTTATGACGTTCAGATTTTGTTGAAACTGTTCAAGAAAGCTGTCAATTCAACTTTTTGGTCATTTTGAGGCTGTAGTTTGGGGTGCTGTTGGATTGCATTTTGTTTTACTGGGCAAACCTAAGTATGTTTTGTAATGCCGCAGCCTAAGACAGTAATCTGATTGGTGTGTCCTGATGAGTAAAATATTTCAAGTAACTGCATTTTCTGCATACATTTATGTTGTTTTGTGAAGACTGTAAGCAGTTGCACTATTGTTACACTTTAAACATTGTTCAAGCATTGACAGAGCAGCAGAGTTGCAGCATAATATATTTGATGTTTTATTTTTTATTTTAGTGAAAGCTAAAATGTGATTGGTCTGTTATGATCAATAAAATATTTTATTTGTTGCTTCTAACTTGCATTGTTAAATGTTAAATATGAATTTTCAAAGCAGAGCTGCACCAAAATGTTTACTTTTATTTATTGGTGCCTTTATATTATGTTATGCCTTTATAATATGTAACATTTTATTGGTTTATTGATGATGTTTGCTATTATTATGCCGTTTTTAAAAAAAAGAATGCTTCATTTTCACGGAACCCATAGTCATATCGTATCATATCGACATCGAGATATCTGGCATAAATATCAAGATATGAAATTTTGTCCATATCGTTCAGCCCTAGTTAGGACTAATTCTTAAAGTTAGGACGGGCTCTTATAGTTAGGACTAATTCTTATAGTTAGGACTGGCTCTTGTAGTTAGGACTAATTCTTATAGTTAGGACTGGCTCTTGTAGTTTGGACTGATTCTTATAGTTAGGACTGGCTCTTATAGTTACGACTCATTCTTATAGTTAGGAGTGGCTCTTATAGTTAGGACTAATTTTTATGTTCACGACTGGCTCTTGTAGTTAGGACTAATTCTTATAGTTTGGACTGGCTCTTATAGGTAGGACTAATTTTTATGTTTACGACTGGCTCTTGTAGTTAGGACTTATTCTTATAATTAGGACTGGCTCTTATAGTTAGGACTGGCTCTTGTACTTAGGACTGATTCTTATAGTTAGGACTGATTCTTATAGTTAGGACTGGCTCTTGTAGTTAGGACTAATTCTTATAGTTAGGACTGGCTCTTGTACTTAGGACTAATTCTTATAGTTAGGACTGGCTCTTGTAGTTAGGACTAATTCTTATAGTTAGGACTGGCTCTTGTAGTTAGGACTAATTCTTATAGTTAGGACTGGCTCTTATAGTTAGGACTGGCTCTTGTAGTTAGTACTAATTTTTATAGTTAGGACTGGCTCTTATAGTTAGGACTGATTCTTATAGTTAGGACTAGTTCTTATAGTTAGGACTGGCTCTTGTAATTAGTACTAACTCTTATAGTTAGGACTGGCTCTTGTAATTAGTACTAATTCTTATAGTTAGGACGGGCTCTTATAGTTAGGACTGGCTCTTGTAGTTAGGACTGATTCTTATAGTTAGGACCGGCTCTTGTAGTTAGGACTAATTCTTATAGTTAGGACTGGCTCTTGTACTTAGGACTAATTCTTATAGTTAGGACTGGCTCTTATAGTTAGGACTAGCTCTTATAGTTAGGACTGGCTCTTGTAGTTAGGACTGGTTCTTATAGTTAGGACTGATTCTTATAGTTAGGACCGGCTCTTGTAGTTAGGACTGGTTCTTATAGTTAGGACTGGCTCTTGTAGTTATGACTGGTTCTTAGAGTGATTTGAATGAACTGATTTGTGATTTTGGTTTTATGAATAAAATTGAATTGAATTCAGTCGTCACATCTGTCGACACTTCAAACATCTCTGAGGACATTTTTACCATCACACAGTTTATATTCATCCTCTGAGGAGACACAGCGTCTCTACTGTGACATCACTGTGTCTCAGCCGTTGCCTGGTCTGTGGCAGCGAATTGATTGTACTGCACATGTCCAGCTCCCCACAGAGATGAGGAGGATGTCACATAACTTGTCATCAGCTGATTCGTGGATGAGGTACGTAAACAGCAGCCGGAACACATTGGACACTGATGGCAGGTGAGACGGGATCGACAGACGGACAGAAGACGTCTCGGCTTTCTGGCTTTTCATTGATGAAGATAAAACTTTTTTTTTTTTTTTTAAGATATTTTTGGGGGCTTTTTAGCCTTTAATGTATAAGGACAGACAAGTGTGAAGGGGGGGAGAGAGAGGGAGTGACATGCAGCAAAGGGCCGCAGGCTGGAGTCGAACCCAGGCCGCTGTAGCAACAGCCTTGTACATGGGGCGCCTGCTCTACCACTAAGCCACCGGCACCCTGTGAAGATAAAACTTTTCTTCGGTTTCCTTCGTCTGTTTGGAGAGAAGGAATCCGCCACTCCTCCGCTCCTCACTCTGGTGGTTAGTCTGATGTAGTCTGATAAATAAATGGCGACCCCTGTAATGATGTCATGACCCCCAGGTTGAGACCCACGTCCTGACCGGTGGTCAGACGTCTCAGAATGACACAACAATAAAACACAGACTCACTGTGCACTTCCCATAGCGGCTGTACTTGCGTCCTCGCTCTGAGACGGTGTAGAGGTAAATAAAGTTATCATGAGATCCGACGGCCAACAGGCTGCCATCTGCAGACACACATAGAGGAGCATTCTGGGTAATGCAGTTCACGTCTCTCACAGCGTCCTCATGGAAACAGTCCTGCTGTTTGTTCATTAACACAAACATTATATGTGACATCACCCACCGACGGAGAAGCGCATCACCGACAGCTGCTCATTCCCGTCGGTGTGGATCGCCACCAAGTCGGTCGTCTCAGCGTCCAGGACGTACCACCTGAGACAGAGGCAGCAGTCAGAGACACCAGTTACAGACAGAGAGACCAGTTAGAGACACAGACCAGTTAGAGACAGAGACACCAGTTAGAGACACAGACCAGTTAGAGACAGAGACACCAGTAAAAAACAAAGACACCAGTTAGAGACACCAGTTCGAGATAGAGAGAACAGTTAGAGACACCAGTTGGACAGACAGAGACACCAGTCAGAGACACCAGTTGGAAAGACAGAGACACCAGTTAGAGACACCAGTTGGAAAGACAGAGACAGAAACAGAGACACCAGTTGGACAGACAGAGACACCAGTTAGAGACACCAGTTGGACAGACAGGGACAGAGATACCATTTGGACAGACAGACACAGAGACACCAGTTAGACACACCAGTTGGACAGACAGAGACAGAGACACCAGCTAGAAGACACCAGTTGGACAGACAGAGACACCGGTTAGAGAAACCAATTGGACAGAGACAGAGACACCAGTTAGAGACGCCAGTCAGAGACAGGACACCAGTTAGAGACACCAGTTGGAAAGTCAGAGACAGAGACACCAGTTGGACAGACAGAGACAGAGACACCAGTCAGAGACAGAGACACCAGCTAGAGACACCAGTTGGACAGACAGAGACACCAGTTAGAGAAACCAGTTGGACAGACAGAGACAGAGACAGGTGCATACTGACTTTCCTGAGTGTGTTCCTATGGCAACGACGGCTCCGCTGGGATGGAAGTCGGCACAGTGTCCATGTTCCTGAGAGACAGAGCTGTCAATCATCTGTCAAACAACCAATCAGCTTTCTCCAAGCGCTGACAGCTGTCGACATCAACAATGACATCTCAACATTTTTAATTGGATACTGTAAACGCCTCTCTTCTTTCTCTGCTCTGATTGGCTGCCTGTTTTCAGGAGGGCGGGACTTCACAAAGAATCAATCTAAGACACATCGATATGTTAAGTCATAAACATGTTGAGTAAACAGGAATGTTTACAGATGTTTATATTTACTTTAGTCACAAACACGTTTAGTAAACAAACGGATGTTTACAGATAAATGTTTATATTTACTTTAGTCACTAACAGGTTTAGTAAACAGACGGCTGTTTACAGATAAATGTTTATATTTACTTTAGTCAAACATATTTAGTAAACAGACAGATGTTTACAGATAAATGTTTATATTTACTTTAGTCAAACATATTTAGTAAACAGATGGATGTTTACAGATAAATGTTTATATTTACTTTAGTCACACATATTTAGTAAACAGACGGATTTTGACAGATAAATGTTTATATTTACTTTAGTCAAACATATTTAGTAAACAGATGTTTACAGATAAATGTTTATATTTACTTTTCACTCTGTATCATGATCAATGAAAATATTGTTAGATATGGAAATAAAACAATGATGATTATGATGATTATGATGGTGATGATGACACTGACCTCCAGCGTTCTGCTCCACTGCAGACTATGATCCTCCGAGCTCCAGACACAGACCAGCCGGTCCTGAGCGCACGTCAGGAACAACCCTCTGGATGGGTGACACGCCAAACCCCACAGCTCATCTGTGTGACCCTTTACACATCACAGGAAAGAGAAGGTGAGACCCTGAAGACATCATCGCATTACTGAGACCCTGAACACATCACTGAGACCCTCAATACATTACTGAGTCTCTGAACACATCACTGAGACCCTCAATACATTACTGAGTCTCTGAAAACATCCCTGAGACCCTAAAGGTGTGGACACACCAAACTGGCATCAAAGAACTAGCGGCGATGAAAGCCAACTGTTGCGTCGTCTATGTCGCCTCACGTCTCCCTGTGTCAGTTGCATTTGAACACACTACACGGACTACATCCGACGGCCAAGTAGCACGTACGTTCTGCGCCTGCATGAGAGAGAGCGGAGTGAGAGAGTGGTACATCCTGTCAGCCGAGGGGTTTCCTATCTGTGCAGCCGAGCACCGCAGCACCTCCACGGACTATTACATCCAGACGGTCCCGGTGTTTCCTCCGCAGGCTCCATTTCACTCAGCTGCCCGATAAATCCACTGCTTCTTCCCACTTTAACCTGAATAACAAACCAGAGCCAGGAACAGTCAATCTCTCTCACCGACAAGCTCCGCCGCTGATTCAACATGCTCAATCGGCCAAAAAGTCGCCGACGTGCCAAGAGTGTGGGACACACCACAAAAACTAGGGCAACAGACGCTCACCAACGGCCCGACTTTGGTCGACGGCCAACCATCGGCTCGGTGTGTCAGGGCCTTAAACACACCACTGAGACCCTGAACACATCATTGAGACCCTGAACACATCACTGAAACTCTGAACACATCTCTGCTTTACTAAGACCCTGAACACATCACCGCTTGACTGATAACCTGAACACATCACCGCTTTACTGAGACCATGAACACATCACCGCTTTACTAAGACCATGAACACATCACCCTTTTACTGAGAACATGAACACATGATTGCTTTACTGAGACCCTGAACACATCACTGCTTTACTGAAACCCTGAACACATAACCACTTTACTGAGACCCTGAACTAGGGCTGCCACTAACGATTATTTTCATTGTCGACTAATCTGTCGATTATTTCTTTCATTAGTCAACTAATCATTTCATCGAAAAATGTGTTAAAATATTGAAAAATGTCGGTCTGTCTTGCCCAAACCTCAAAATTACGTCATCTAATGTCTTGTTTCATACTCACGCCAAAGGGTTTTAGTTCACTGTCACGGGAGTGTGTATAAAGCTGCCAATATCTGAATGTAAGAAGCTGCAGTAAGAGTATTTTGGGGTACTTTTATAGTACTTTTCTATGAAAAATGACTCAAACCGATTAGTCGACTACTAAAATAGTCACCAATTTTTTTAATAGTCGATCAGTCATCGATTAGTCGACTAATCGTGGCAGCCCTACCCTGAACATATAACCACTTTACTGAGACCCTGAACACATCTCTGCTTTACTGAAACCCTGAACACATCACTGCTTTACTGAGACCCTGAACACATAACCACTTTACTGAGACCCTGCACACATCACTGCTTTACTGAAACCCTGAACACATAACCACTTTACTGAGACCCTGAACACATCACTGCTTTACTGAAACCATGAACACATAACCACTTTACTGAGACCCTGAACACATCACTGCTTTACTGAAACCCTGAACACATCACCCCTTGACTGAGACCCTGAACACATCACCACTAACAAAACCCTGTACACATCACTGAGACCCTGAACACATCACCGCTTTACAGAAACCCTGAACATATCACCGCTAAAGAAACCCTGAACACATCACTGCTTTACTGAAACCATGAACACATAACCACTTTACTGAGACCCTGAACACTTCACCGCTTTACTGAGACCAGGGTTCCTACACATTTGGAATTTCAAAATTCCATACTTTTCCTAGACTCACAAGTCAGTCTTTAGACGCTTTGCTTAAGTAAAGACTGATGACTTTCTCCCTGATTTTGTGTTTAGATGGGCGGATACAATTTCAGATTTTAAACAACTCCCTACGTTGCAGAACCAATAGTAAATCCGCAGGGCGGTCCTTCGGTGGCTCGCTGAACTCTTGTGCTTCTAAACATAGTCCCACTAGAAACACGTGTAGCGGTACAAAATGGCTCAGCCATGCTCGCAGAAAACGCCGTCAAAGTTAGTGGATGTTTGTCGCGTTTGTGGCGACACATTCTCGCCAACTAAAAGAAACAAACATAATCTTTTACAAGGCCATGACTCATCCGTCCGATCGGACTATAGAGAGATTCGCCTTGTTGTTTACAAATACTTCCGGGTAGAAAACCAGCAGAGCTTTTAGCTATATATATAGCTATAAGCTCTGCTGGTTTATATATATATCACATTTTTCACATCACTGTATCACTGTTTAGACTAATCCGATGTTTGTAAAGTCTTTAAACACAATGATTGAACAAACATTACTATTTCTGTGTGCACGTTTAGCTGGGCTAACCATTAGCTGTTAGCCCTGTTAGCCGTTAGCGGTGTCTGTAATAGGTAATAACTCATTAAACGGTCCGAAAAAAATATTTTTTCCAGCAGATATCTTAGCTACAACATGACTGAGCTAGCAAAGCAGTTTTGTGTTGCTATGTGTGGTATTTATTCAGTTTTGGGAAATCACAATGTCTAGAAAGCATCAGTGGCTGCAGCTGACAGGGACAGCTAACAGCAGCAGCAAAGCTAACATCAGGACGTCATCTGTTAAAAGCCTGTGGTGGCAAAATTACTATTCAATAAACAATTCAAAGAAAAGTCTTCACACGTCGGTTGTCTTTCTTGAGTTTTAATAAGCATTCATGAATGGAGTCTCACAAACAGTACAAACCGCATGAACAGTCCGTCAAAGTGAGAACTGGCGAGTGTCCTCCAGCCCTCTATCTTTATAGTTACCCAAACACATGGTCATCCATAGTCATAACACATGGCGCCAGAGAACCTGTTGTCCTAAGCCATATCATCTCCTGACACAATAACAGGGTCATAACTCTGAAGGCCTCTCTGAAGGTTCACCTTCGGCCTGTTTTGCAACCAGGCCTCCGCCATATATCTGATGTTATCAAGTGAGGGATTACAGAGCATGGAATGATTTGTAAGCTTCAATAAAGTAAGTCTTGCAGGACACCCTAAGGGGTGAAAAGAGGGTCAGACGCCCATAACTTGTCAGGTACCCATAATTTTCCATCACAAGCCTCCCGTTGCCGGATACGACATGAAACTACTCCAGTTAGCTCAATCATGTTGTAACTAAGACATCCGCTGAAAAAAATGTTTTCTTCACGGATGAGCACACATTTGAGAAAACGGAGTTTAATCTCTCGGCATCCATTTTCAAGCTCTCTGTGTGTTTGTTTCCTTGCGGACGAGAAAAGGGGGAGCGCACATTTCCGAGAAGACGTGTTCTTTTCAAAAATGCAAGAAGCGTTGCAGTGTGTTAAACACACTTTAGAAAGGAGTGTCCCCAGACTATCAGAAGGCGGAGATCTCTGATTGTCTGGTGTCGAGACTATACTTTTCCATACCCTAATTTCCAGACTTCTCTGCATTTTTTTCTTTTTTTTAGAGAATATGCGACATCTGAGTAAATATATCAGTGTATCATATTTCACATCATATTTAATTATTCTTAATAGGCGATTGTAGCCAAGTACCATAATGGCATGCAAATAAAAACTCAGGTAAGTTCAATGTCTGGGCTGAGGCAAAAAGGTTGGGACTCTGGGTGCAAGCAATGCAGTAACGAGACGTAGGTGTTTTTTCCTTTCATGTGGCTCAGAATCACCTTCTCCCCCATGTTGGCGATGCAGGGTTCAACGCTAAGGTTTTTTTTTTTTTCACTTGCCCGGTCAGGCAAGTTGGTCAGAGATATATTTGCCCGAAGTCAGTTTTTACTTGGCCTATAAAAATTGTTTAATTTAAGCGGCTATCAATTAACAAAGACTGCAGTTATTTTTTTTATGTTATATAATCTTTATTCACACTGTATTTATTAATTAAAACAACATATATCATGTATTGTAGCTTAATTCCTACACAAATATGACAGTGTCAGGGCTTAAAGTGAAAAATTTTCCTGAGCCTGAAACCTGAAACCTGGGGGGGGGACAGTGGCAATCTTTGTCAACCATTCTCCGTCTATAATTTTGCGCCCTACTTCAGCCATGCCCACCTCTATTTATTTTTCACCCCTCTCTCCAGTTCTGCTGTATTAACACTGGGTTTAATATATTTTGCTTCCATCTCTCTGCCCTGCTCTACTCTACTTCAACGCTACTTAGCTCTCTCTCTATTCTACCAGTAGACTACCACATCGACCTGTTGCACAAAACGCACACAGCAGTGTTTCCCCTAGGATGGAGTTGTAGCAGTGGAGGTGAAGCACACGCATGAAAAATAATTTTCACATGCGTGAAACTTTTTTGTATGCTTGCAAAGCACAGCCTGCTGGGATGTTTCTATGTATCTACTGGCACCAGAAGGGCTCTTTAGGACTAAGTACATACAGTACATGTGTGCACAGTA